CCAAAGGGCTGAAAGTACAAATAACAACAAACATTAAAACAAAAATAGCAAGAAATACCTGGTAAAAATTTAATCCCAACAAAGCAAGGTTCATCATTGCAAAAACTATCCAGAGTACAGGTTCCCATGCCATTTTATTACCTGAACAAATAACACAATTCACACACCACACACACAATCGCAAAGCTCTTTGGATCCTTTTGTCACTCGATTGAGGGAGAAAGAGAATTTGCAGAGACCGAAAAGAAGAATTGTGAAGTGGGGGTGTGGACTGCGCTTTTGAGTTGTCACAGATTATCAATCATGATGGGGGAGCCAATAAAACTAAACACATTTTATTGAATGGTTATAATTAATTAATATATAAATAAATATTAGTTTATCACTTGAAGAGATTTAAAAACCCAACATAATATTAGGTTGGATGTAAGCAAAACGGAGACAAAATTGAGAAATAATGACTTTTCATTCGATTTGGGTTCTATATTTTCTATTGTGGTGGGAACACAAATTCTATAATTTTTTTAGGTTCGACCGTACCAAGTTAAATATAAATAAACCGAAAAACTCGAGTAAAACTAAAATATTAAGTCGAATTATGCATTTCGATGCAATTTCACCTAGTTATTTTAGTGTATGAAAATTTGGGTTATCATTTTCAATATTGAACTGCGGCTTGATTATTTTCTTGGTAAGTTGGAATTTTTTTTCTTAATTTTTTAAACTGAAATTTTGCTCACCCGAACTTAATGTGATTGGTCCCACGGCACGTCCATATAAATAAATTTAAACTTAGAGGGCTTTCATAATTATCAGTCCAATCTTCACAATGTAAATGGCCAACAACCGGCCCAATTATACAACGACGTCGTTTGTGGTCATGTAAGGCTCGTAAGTCCTAACCTTCCCCTTGACTACAGAAAACTCGAGCGAGCTCGGGGATTTGAAGTTTGAGCACGATAATCCAAAACAAAGCAAGAATTCAAGAAATTCACAATCTTTTACAGTGCGCTTGTTCATTTCTTGAAAGAGTGACTGGTAAATTGTACTTTACTTGCATGATTATTTTGTTCTTTGCTTTTATTCTTCTGTAGCTTCATTTGCTTATTGCTTTTCCTGTCGAACCCATCTGAAGTTACATCTTTATGCGCCGTCTACTTAAGTGATTTCTGGGTTTAGTTTAATTAGCTGATTTTATTCTATATTTATGTAAAAAAATATGCTAAATTTATCGTGGGTCTCTTGTGTTATATTTTATTCATGGGATTGAGCAGGTGATTTTGCTGACTGATGTTTGTTTGGCTTATGGCTGCATTACTGAATGTACTAAATACGTTTTCTTAATTTGGTCATTGTTTTTTCACAAAATCTTGTAAGTTAACCTAATGGTTAGGCAGGTAGACTGTTTAAAGCTCGTCTTTAACTTTTCATATAAAAAATTTGTTCCTTTTTTCCACTTTGAATTCTTTATTATATAAGTTTTTTGTTTATTAGTAATGTTGGATTTGATTTATTGGGTTTTATTGTTCACTGTAGTAGCAAGCTTGTTTCTCTTTCGAGCTAAATAGGTTGTGCAGTAGTGAATTAGTCATACATTAGCAGCATGAATAAATTAAATGAACCCGAGATTTTCAGTTTTGAGTTTTAAATGTGAAACTTTTTCATGATATTGGCATCTGATTGAATGTCTTCACATGCTAGGTTCTTTTTGTGTCATTTGCTCTAAGGGTATGCAAAGATGATGGCTTGTACCCCCATCAGCACATGCAGCAAAAAAGTAGTTTGCTTGATTGGAAGCTTCCAAAGGCAGCCGATTATTCGTGCTTCTTATGCCTCTCGGCAATCATCATGTTATTACTATTCTTCCGGCAAGCACCCAAGATTGCATTTTTCTCCTACAAACGGCTTTAATTGCCATGAATTGACGTTTAAAAGATTGATCAGGCCTAGGCAGCATAGTAACACGCGTGTTAATGTTTCTACTGGAAATGGGGACATGAATTTTAGGCTTTTTGTGCCTAAGCAATCATCGAATTCCAAAATTAAGTGTAATGTGGGGCCCTTTTATTTGAACCAGCGGACTCTGTATTCTGGCGTTTTTATGGGATTATTGGTTTGTTTTTCTGCTTCTCAACCTTCATATGCGGAGGCACCTGAGGGAAATCAAAAGAAAGAGGGTTATTGTGATGCTTATTCTGGCGGCCACTCGCATAACAAGAAAGTCTTGACCGACTACTCTGTGATTGGTAACTAGTGTTTTGTTGAGGTTCATCGTCTGTAATTTATTCATGCATTTGATATGAAAATCTAAGTTAGAGTACGTTTGTTTGAGCTTATAAGCTCTTGAGTCTTGACAATCTTTGCTTCTTCTTTGTTCCAAATATGATCTTGCTTTGACAATTATCGTTTATTTTTATGACTTCAGTTACCAAAAATGATATTGTTAAGATCATATAAGCTCTATAATCAATATGTGACCTGCAAGCTTTATAAACATCTTATAAATGGTAGTAGCTTGTAAAATCATTCAAGTTGCCTCACTCAAACAGCATGTTTATTAAGATTACAAATATTTCTATTAATGGTAATGTGTAGGTATACCTGGAGATGGAAGGTGCTTGTTTCGTTCTGTTGCACATGGAGCTTGCGTACGAGCTGGAAAGCCTGCTCCGAACGAGAACCTTCAAAGGGAACTAGCGGACGAGTTACGAGCTAGAGTATGTTCCACATTTCTTTTTACGCTTAAATTACTAAAGTTACTCTTGGTGTTCCGCAAAACTGCAAAAGAATAAAAAAAAAATAAAAAACAATTTTCTTCTGTAACTACAATACTGTCCTTGACATCTGAAGTGCGTATGTTTAATGATAAAGTGCAAATAATCGGCATGAGTCTGAGGATTCTTTTTTTTTTTNGAAGTTTGACAGTGGTTCTTGCCGTTTATTAGGTTGCCGATGAATTTATCAAGAGACGAGAAGAAACAGAGTGGTAAGTCTATGGAGATTGCAGTTTCTACCTTTTTATCGATATGAAAGATTGACTTTACATTTCTTCTTCCTACTTCATACATTCTCGATCATGATGCTATGATATCAATTGCATAACAAGATATTAAACTAATTAAACTTCGGCATGCAAACCTTTGCTACTATTCATCCAATCAAGCTTATTCAATCAAGTATGCAATCTTAATTTTTTTCTCTGTTTAGCTTATATTCGGTTACATCATAGTATGTATTAATAATATCTCAGGTTCATAGAGGGAGATTTCGAGACATATGTTTCGAAAATAAGGAGGCCTCATGTTTGGGGAGGCGAGCCTGAATTGTTGATGGCCTCTCATGTTCTCCAGTAAGTACTCTGCATAAAATTTTACGTTCATTCTTCTTGGAAGTGTAATCATCGGTGAAATTGATCGGCAAAAAAAAGAAAAAACAAAAGAAAAGGCTTAATTGATCGAGTTTATATATTCTGCGAGGTCGTAATATTCAAGATACATAAAATTTCAACGGCTATAAAAAGAATACATATACTTTTGCATGGACTAATAGAAAACGTTAAAATATTAGGATGCCGATTACAGTGTACATGCACGACCAAGAATCGGGTGGCTTGATATCTATAGCCGAGTACGGGCAAGAGTATGGCAAGGATAATCCCATTAAGGTCCTGTATCATGGCTATGGCCATTATGATGCCCTTCACATTCCGGGTAAGGTTGGGTCGAGGCCGAGACTTTAAATATTTCGAGAAAGATGCGTATAATGATAATATGGCTGATATTTTAGACGATTGTGCATTTACACACTAGCTATACTGTCTGTACACTATACCGCGCGAGCCTTCCAAACGACTCAATAATTGTAGTTTACAGAGTGGAATATGTGATATATTATGCAGCCATGGAATATGAGCAGCTTGCAAGTTCAGTAAATGGCTGTAAATTTTAGAGTTTTATGTGATTGTAATGCAATTTTAGAAAAATATGTGAGAGTTTCTAAATTTTGAAAGCTACCAAGTAAAGTTTCAATTTTCCAAGCATTTTCTTCAAAATCCTTTCTCTTTTCTCTTTCATACTTGTAATTTCTTTGTATGTACATTAAAAGAGAGGTAAATAAAGAAAAGGAGGCTAACAAATAGCAATATATAGGTCCTTAAATTCAAGATAATACAAACTTCTAGCTATATTTTAAGGGCCCTTGATAGTTCTTATCCTGGTCGAGGGCGGGCTAGCCAGAGGGAGCTGAGGGCTTGCAGGCGGTGAAAGTATTCTCCGATAGCCAGAAAACACCGTGCCGCCTGGCGGGTCGTCAGAATTTCGTTCAATCGGTGTAGGGTTTGTTGCCTCAGATTATCACCCTATGAGAAAATTTGAATTTCTATAGGTTAGTTGTATCTACAACTAATATATAATTCAATTCAGTAATAAATATTTTTCAACAGACATGCATATTTTTATGCATAAATTACATACTTTAAAATATAATATAAATAAAGGTACGATATTTTTCAGTATAAATATATATTTTTGTTCAAAAAGTATGACGGGCCGACCTAATCATTACCATGCATGTATATTGACTTCTTAAGGGTTTTGCTTAATCAACTACATTATCCAACTTTCAATTTTTTCTTACATTGACGAGAAAACTTATATATGGCACATGTAATGTATATTCCCTTGAATTTCATGTCTCTTAAATACTTTGCTGATTTGATGTTATGAGAGTTAGGAAAGTTGTAGTTGATTTGGTGGGGGTATTGTTTTCTAGCTAATATTGATCTTAGGAAGTTGAGCGAGAACAAAATAAACTAGTAAAAAGATTCAAGCTGACTCATGACACGCATGCGTTACGATTATATGCTTTTAAGACACGCGTCGAACATGCACGTCAATGTTCCAAAATTTAGAAGGTGGAATTAAATACGCTCACCAAACGGTGAACAAAGTCGTTTTACAAAGTCGTAGAAAACGACGACTTGACTATTTTCTCTATAATTATACATTTTGAAGAAAAAAAAATGTCCATGAATAAAGTTCTTGGCATTGAGTACTTATTATTTCCTTAAGTTTTGAATAATTTGAGTTTGAAAATTAGTCCATGAATACAATGCTTGGCTTAGTTTAAAAAAAGGATAAAACACGTGCATGCATGCATGCATAAACTAAGGGCTAGACATCTAACCAAATAATGATAGCAAATGTACACAATGAATGTACAAAACCTAATTACAAAAAATAATATAAAAGTACCTGTTGAGCGAAATCCTCGAGGGTCGAGAGCTTGTTGAGGGCTAGGGCCATACGATCATTCGTGTTCGATGGGATGATACTGTTGAGAGAGCCTGAGACTATGGTCTGTGTGAGTGATTGCTTGAGGGCTTGGAGGCCCTGAGACAGGGCTTCTTCTGCTTCCCGTGTGGATTGCTGTAGGTTGTAAATCCCCACCATTTGTTGCTCGATTATTGGCTCGATTTCTCTTGAGATTATCTGTTATTCGAGTGGTAGTTTTAACTAACCGACTAGGTTAGTTGTTATGCGAAAAATTGACATGGAGAGGAGGAAATTGTGATGGAAAAAAGAATAATATATTAGAGAACCACAAATTCTAAAGTTAGGTTGCTTAATGATTAGGCAAGTCGATTCTCGTCAATCATACTTTTTGTAAAAAAAAATGCATACTTATTCTATAAAATGTCATATTTTTGTTTAAATAGTTTTTAAAAGTACCACGTTCGAGTATAAAAGTATGCATATACAAAATATGCTTACGGATTACCTAATAGCAACCTACCGATAGAGAACTATTGGGTTTTAATTAACCTGGATTTGGTCCAAATTTTGCTAACCCTCTAATTGGAGGACCAGAAATGGTATACACCAAAAGTTGGTGGACCTATATTGCATTTTTACCATATATAACGCTACATAGTATATACTTAAATTTGAAGTGGATGTGCTCTTGTAATTTAGTAAAACCTAAATTGTTCAATTTTAAACTTAGCCAAGGCCCAAAAACTAAGAAAACCCTTAATTTTGTTATAATCTATTTATAAAGTTTAAATTAGGGTTTAATTAGCAAGCTTACTCATCAAACCTTAATAAGCTCAGATGGCCGGAAACCGCCCATCCACATGAAGCACCTCTCGACCGGAGTCTTCCACATGCCGGAAAATAGGTGGAAGACATCGGATTTCGCAATCATGCTCTTAAGGTTCATCACATGTTCATAGTGGTCCAACAAACGGTCCACAAAAATCCGAAGCTCGTTTTCCGGCAGGTTGGCTTGCACCGCGCGCCGGAGTTCTGCCATCAAGTGGTGGTGCTCCTCCAGCCACCGGGCATACTCGATCTCAAACAAAGCAGCATCTGATTAGTCGACCACAAGAATTAATTAATTAAATCATCATCGTCTAATAATCCGGAAAACAGTCAACTTAGAGTAATTTTGTAATTATGGCCTATAAAATGTATGTATTTACCTGAAGTTATGTTTCCCATAGCAAAAGTAGCACCTTGATCACCAGCTACTCCCTGATAATATCCCTTGCGTGCATATAAACATTAATTAATAGAGATTAATTACCCAAAAAAAAAATGATTTTTATATTAGGTAACGGGTATTTAAATGTATTACTAAAGGTGTAATTTGATATAGACTTAACCAATAGAAAACCAATCAAAAATCAAATTTAACTCAACTTTAATTCAATTCCACTATTTTCAATATTATCAATATAATTTTATAATATATATCAATCAATCATACTTACACATCACATCAAATTTAATTTACTATTCATCCACTCATATAATTTTCACTAACAATCACTTTCAATTATTTTTCTCATACTTTTATATCAAATCAACTTTAATTATTTATTATTTTAATTTAAACTTAAATTTTCACTAACAACGAACGATACCATTTTTTTTCAAAATTAACTATAGTTAACAAAAAAAACCAACAAAGAACCAATCAAATCCATATTAAACCACTCTCTAATAACTGAACTATTGTATATTTGCTGTATTTAGTCCAAGAAAATGGCAAACGGAAAATATATTCTAACGTGTAATAGATATTTAGATGTTATCAATCCTGTATAATTTTCAAATGAATTTTTTACGATTCCAATGATATTTTCTCCAACGGTTGAAATATGGACTTAAAAAATTTGGTCGTCGGAAGGAAATTTTAATTTAAGTGGAATAATTTATAGTATCGATCTCTATTGGAATTTCAATTCGAATATTTTATCTTTAGATTTTTACATTTTCTTAAAGTGATTATTATTCTTACTTGGGATGTTGCTCTTTGTATTTCTTGTTCCAACTGAGTCAGCCTCATTCTACTAGATTCTAGCTGCTGAACATAAGCCTGAAACATGCAGTTCAAAATTATCAATAACTACTGATTAATAAATAAATTTTGAAATTTCATGAGATTTTTATTTTTCCCTTTTTTCTAATACAGAAAAAATTAAAATAAAATTCTCGTTTAATAATTTTCATGGGAACATGCACTTGCCTTTTTCCTAAGTCTGCATTTCCTAGCCGCCTCTCTATTCTGAGCAAGCCTCCTCAATGTCTGGATATAAGTAAAAAAATAATAAAAAAAAAAGACTCCAAAGTAAGATAACTTTTTAATTACATGAAATATTAGGGGTTTCATAATTGAATTAAGAGAAAATTAAACCTTAGAATCTGTGGCTTTTGGCCCTTGTTCTGAACTTGAGGCCGGCCCTTTTCGGTTTCCCTCACGCTAAATAGGAAAGAAATCAAAATTAGGCCAGCCTAATTAACCATTAGTCCGACACACTTTTTATTTCTTAAATATAAATTTAATTTCGATAGAAGTATAACAATTGATATAGTATAAATATTGTATTTTTGTTTACTGTGTCACAGGTCGACTCGTCTAACGATTAAGTTGTATTACGTAAGAAAATGCGTTAACAAATTGGTATGGTTAATTATTAATCGACAGATAGGGAGCAGAAGGATTAACTGTGTTGGATGTAGGGTTCGAATAATCGACGGACGGCTCAGATTGTCCGTTGGAGCCACTTGGCGAAACGAATCCAGCATTTGCCTGTATACATATGAAAATTAAAAATAACCAAAAAATTATATATATAGCTAGCCTTCAAAAATCACAATTTTAAGACAAAAACTTCATGATCATAAAAATCTAAATAAATTAAAAGAAAAAAAGGTCGAAATCGAAGTTTTTCGTTTTAGATTTGTTGTACCTTTGATGACGGCTCAACATGCATGGGCTCAGAAGGGAAAATGTTGAGTGTGTGTGGTCTCATGGTACCCAAATTCTCTGGAGAAAATTTAAAACGATCACAAAAGGTATTAAGGAAATTAGGTTCAGAAGCTAAAGAATCTTTGGTGTATATTTTTTCATTTTCCATTTTTTCTCACACTTATGCCAGAGAGAGAGAGAGAGAGAGAGAGAGAGAGACCACTGTTTGGTTTGTACTCTCAGTCTCAGCTAAAAAAATTAAATAAAAAATAAAGTTTGCAAGAATTTCATGTCAATGGGAAGTTTGTTACATGTGTGTCCAAAGTTTATGTAGCTAAAAGGAAAAAGAAAATGAAAATCAAGAATTCTTATAGAGAATCTAAAAAAATAGTGAAAAGTTAGCATAAATTTAATTAAAAAAGGAGATAAAAAATAGAAAGGGAAAGGAAAATGAATATCAGTAATTCCTGATTCTAAAAAATATATATATATATATAGTGAAAATTTAGCAGAAACTTAATTAAAAAAAAAAAAGATAACAAATTTAAAAGGGAAAAGAAAATGAATATCAAGAATTCCTATAGAGAATCTCAAAAAAGTAATGAGAAGTTAGCAGAAATTTATGTCAAAAAAGAGATAAAAAAATTTACGGAATGGAAAAAAAAAATAAAAAATCAAGAATTCCTGTAGAGAATCTAAAAAAAAAAATTACTGGCTCTTTTGATTCAACTGCTTAAAATTTGTGAGAGTAAAAAAAAAAGAGAGAGAGAGAATTAATAATGAAATAATCAAATTTACGACTTTGATCTTGAATTGACTGATCTTGGCCATCCAAGTACAAGAAAAGGGATTCATCCAATTCTCCCAATTCATAAGCACATGCATCTTTGTTTCTGCACATAATTTATGAATTAATTTCACATCAACAATCATAAGCTAAGATAATGACTTCTTCAATATTAAAAAGAAAAAACAAAAAGAAAATAAAAGTAAGGAAAATTAGGTAAAAAATATCTACATATTGTTGAAACCTCCATGAGAAGGTGAAGTTGGTGGTGGAGAAGATTGCGTCATCATGCCAAAAGATGATAATATCATGTGGTCATGTTCATCCTGATTATGATGAATGCTTTGATTATGCATATTTGGCTGATGATGTTGGTATTTTTGGTGTGAGATTATTTGTGTGGAATAGGGTTCATTTTTTCTGCTCTTACTGAAGAAGTCATGAGAGGATATATATTCAAGAAAACATATTTTTTTTTTTGGAAATCTCCAATAAAGAAAAAATATTTATTTGCAAAAAGTGTATATTAGTTTAATTTATTACTGCTTTTTATATATATATATATAGAGAGAGAGAGAGCGAGAGAGAGAAGGGATCATATGAGAATGGTAGTTAATGCGAGAAATAAGAATAAATATGTACCATCAGATCTAACATACCAATGGCCATGATGAAGTCAATTTTATTAATTAATGGTCAAACAAACAATGGCAATATCATAAATAAGTGTATATATAGTGGTCAAATATACAAATTTGACCACTTAGTAAGGTTATTAGGGTCATTGCACAATCATCCACTATCCATATAGGCCCCACCAATTCTAACAGCATCCCATCTCTCTCTCTCACACATTAACACACACTCATGAGTTCTATTTTTCACACACACACACGCACAGAAAACACATGCACGCACAGAATACACACACAAGCACTCAGATCTGCTGGCGGAGTCACCGGCAACCGCCTTCCTTCAGCCGCGTCGTCGCCGGCAGCACAGAATATACACACATGCACGCACAGAATACACACACACACAGTCACTCAGATCTGACGGCGGAGTCGCCGGCAACTGCTTTCGTTCAGCCGCGTCGTCGCCGGCAACTGCCTTCCTTCAGTCGAGTCGTCACCACCTTGCGTCGGTTGGTGTCGACGGCCACCGAGCGCAACTTGCAGGCGGCGACGGCCAAAATCGACGATGACTCTCCGGCAACCATTCCGACGTTAATGTCTGCGAATTTGACGGCCAAATCGTGTACTCCTCGACGATCTGGAACGCGCGGCCACTGGATCTCTTCGTCGTCCTTTCCATACCGCCGCTTCCTTGGTGACAGTTGCCTCCTCCGGCCACCAGATTTTAGGGATTGGATTTGGGCTGAAATCGTGTAATAAGAATATAGGATTTTGGTTTTGGATTTGATTTTGAAAATTTGACATTCTTTAAGGTCTTAAGAGCAATTTCAATATTTTTTAATATATTAATATTTAATTTATGGGTTAATTATGTAATTTATTGAAAATCTAATAATTGCACATGAATGCTCAAAGTACTCCACATTACTATTCGGTATATTGCACGTCAACGATAAATAAAATGCACAATAGGTGTGTGTATGCACGTATTTAGAAAATTCACAAATAATATATAAATATAAATAAAAAAATCAATAATATTTTTCATTTTGTCCATTTCAAATGGAGCTGGAAGAGTCATTGTTGACAATTCTCCTGGCATAGTGCTAATAATGGACTAGATCAAAATGACTCAATTAAATTCTAGTGCTTCTTCTATTAGTGAAGTTTCTAGAAAAAAAAAATATCAAACGGCGCAATGCACCTTGGGTCGCTACGGAAACAGCCTCCTTGTATAATTACAAGGGTAAGGTCTGCGTACAACTGACCCCCCAGACCCCAACCTGTTGGGAATATACTAGGTATGTTGTTGTTGTTGTTGTAATATTTTTCATATATTCGGCAAGTTCAGTTATCTTGTCTATTTAAAAATAACTAAATCCGACATTAACCAACTACTATTATTCGATCAATCATTAGAATTACTGTAATTTTAATATGTGGAACGTGTTTGCGTTATAAGGTGCAACTTATTGCTGTATAAAGTGCAATGTATTGATATATAAAGTGCAATGTATTGGTATATAAAGTGCAAGACTAATATTTTGTAGTTTTAATATGTGGAACATATTGCGTTATAAGGTGCAACGTATTGCTGTATAAATTGTAATGTATTGGTATATAAAGTGCAATACTAAAAATCGAATATTTAATTTATAATTTCCCATGTGTATCTCAAATTTTTTATATATATATAATTTTACATCTAATTAACCTAAATAATTAAAATATATTTTCATTTATTATTATTATTATATAATTTGTTTATTATTGTAAATTATTTAATAATTTATTTGTTATTTAATATATATGCCCAACAAAATATATAAAAAACCATGTTTTATTAACTTTCACTATTTAAAGATTTGACCCATGGGATTAAATTGAAGTATAATTAAATTTATAAAATTTCAAATAGGTCCCAAAACTTAACCTAATTCTCAACAATCCCACCACACTTCAATTTCAGATTTCAGATTTCAGGCGTTTTTTTTTCCGGCGAATTGACAGTCACCAACGTTTGTCAGTCGTCCCGTCGTCTGGAGCCCTGTTCGTAGGTGGTCTTTACTCAGCCGACGGCGGCGCACCTGGAGCCCTGTGGTGGAGGAATACGGTGGTTGTTTAGGAAGGCGACGGTCTCTGTGTGTGTGGGTTCAGAGGCGAGCTGGGGTATCGCACGCTTGAACGGTGTGCGTGTGTGTCGGAGACGGCAGCGGCGAGCAGCGACGGAGTTGCAGCGGCGAGCGGCGACGGAGTTGTAGTGGTGATCGACGGCGGTTTGCAGTAGGGAGCAGCAGCGCCGAATCTCAAAGGTGAGGCTGCGACGACAAACTGAAGGTGATGCGGCGGTGGCGAACGGGGTGGTCGGAGGATGGTCGGAGAAGGGATGTTGGAGGAGCAGGTGAGAGCGATGCTGTGGGGTTTTTGACGGGCGAAGGAGTAGGTGGAGATGGTGGCGGGGCGGCGACGCCGGTGGTGAACGTAGTGGGGCTTGGTGGCTGACTATTTGTGTGTGTATGTGTCGGTGTGCATGCGTATTGGTATGTGTGTTGTGTGGGTTGGTGTGTGTGAGTGGTTGGGAATTGGCACGTTAATTAAAGTGGAGTGAGGTCCACCTCATTAGGTGTAGTGTGCTAAATTACTACATTATCCTTAATGAAGGTAAAAATTTAACTTTTTTATTAGCCATTAGATCATCAGATCCAATGACTACGATTTATTCCCATTTCCGCATTAAGAGTCATTCTCACCTAAGCGTGACCCTATATATATATATTTTCTCACAAGACTGAACTTAATGTGAAACCTAGCCATTTTTCCAATATAAAAAAAAAAATCAGGTCTAACAGTTAGTGACAATCATACTTTTATACCATATTTTTATATTTATGTAGTATAATGTCATATTCTAAAAAGTACAACATAAGATGAATAAAAATATAAAATTTCATAATATAAATGTGAAGGAAAAATTGCACCATTCGTCCACTAATTATACCCGAGTTGCACTTTCGTCCTTTAATTATTATTTTTTTACTTTTGGTACACTATCATTTTTTTTTGGCAATTTTCATCCAAATCGAAGTTCCGGTGCTCATTTTTGCCGGAATAGCTGATGTGGCGCACAATCCGACTCCGGTGCCACATCAGCTTTTCCGGCAAAAATGGGCTCCGGAACCTCGATTTGGACGAAAATTGCCAAAAAAAAATGATAGTGTACCAAAAGTAAAAAAAAAAATAATTAAAGGACGAAAGTGCAACTCGGGTATAATTAGTGGACGAATGGTGCAATTTTTCCTAAATATGAATTTTCAATATTAAGAGTTAGGCTGCCGTATGCAAAAATTTGTAATTGAAAGATCTATCATTATATAAAAATAATAATCTTTTTACAAATTTAGAAACCTGTTTCCGCCAAAATAATTAAATATATCCTACATATAGTAATTGTTGGACAAATCTGAATAGGCAAAAAAATCGGCTCATTAATTGTGTAAAGATTTATTTTTCTTTTTCCTGTTTTTTAGTTTATCAAAATCATTATTTGAAAATAAATATTTGTTTTTCTTTTTCCTATTTTTAGTATAAATCTACACGAGCTTATCTTCTGTTACAAAATCCCATTGCATACGTCTCACGTGTTTAAAAAATATCATCCCTTATCTATACAGATTTGAAAAAATAAAATAAAATAGAAACTAATTTATAATTACTACTAGAAATTCATTATCTTTAAAAAGAAAAAATAAAATAAAATAGAAACCAATTCATAGTTACTAATAGAAATCCATTATCTACCTTAAAAAGCCAATTTTCATCAGTCTAATTACTAATATTTTTACAAATGTTATAAGCTAACCATACAAAAAAGTATAATAATAATTTTGAAATGGTGTGTAATCAATTTTTTTTATATTCTCTCATACAAAATAATTTTACATTGTTTGACCCCGAATCTTTAATTTATAATTACTAAGTATTGTTTATCCTCCTCTTTAATTTATAATTATTTATTTTTTTCCTCTTTTTAAATAGGATCAATAGTAGTTTCCACTTCCGTCATTGAGTGACTCAAACTCGAGGTCTATTTATAATATTGTTAATTTAATATTGTTCACGTGCATCGCACGGGGTACACACTAGTTAACTTGAGAGAGAGAGTAGGAAGAGATGAGGCGGTTATATTTTGCCAAATGAATTGAATGCAAAATACGGAAAAGACAAAGTCTATTTTAAGGTTATATATATATTGAAGACAAATAAATTCTGTAAGATAAATCAAATGTTAAAAAGCTATTTATTTATTTAATCTTTTTTTTTGCGGGGAAGGTTATAGAGTTGATAAAGCAATCACACAAGAGCAATTCCAATGATATAATGTCTATTTTGAAATATATGGTCTGGAGAAAAGACATAATAATATTTTATCTCCAATTGTTAATGTCAGTTGTGAAATAACTGACGCATGTAAGCTAATGATTGTTTAGTGGAGAGAAAAATATCAAATAAATAATATAATATAGAATAGAAGATGTCTAGAAGTTTTTTTCTACATCTAAAAAGTCTTCTAGATATATTAAATCGCACATTGGATTTTTTGAGCCAGGTGTTAATGGAATAGAGCAATCTATGGACCACTAGATATTCTCTAAAGTTGTGAGCAAATTTTGTACCCACCATGTTTGTCCCATTTTTGTTACGTTTTTCGTGTCTATTTTCTCGTTCTTTTTCCCCCATTTTGAGTCACTTGTGTGGTTTTAGAGTCGTTTTGTCGTTTATTTCGTGTTTCGCGTCTTTGTGAGTATTTCTGTGTTTTTCCGGTTTTCTTCGTCTTTTCTTTCATTTTTTGTGTGCAGGTCGGAAGCTTTGGGAGGACAAGTTTTCAGGAAAATATGTGCTGAGATTACATACTTAGATAGAGGAGTTCGTTAGCTACGCGTAGGAAAAAACGGAACTCAATTCCGAGTTCAAACGAGCCCAAAGGAGCCCGAAAAGCAAAGTCCAGCAGGCTGCCCAGAATCTTAGCGCTGCTAAGGCATCTTAGCGGCGCTAAGGCACACAGGATAGCGGCGCTACATGGTACTGGCTCGAACGGCTAAGGCACCTTAGCGGCGCTAACCCCCTTAGCGGCGCTAAGACCCCCTGCAAGTCCCAGAATGATATAAGAACCCCAAAAACTCATTTTCTTCTGGCTTTTTTCATTCTCCCCCTCCTGGGGACGAACCTAGGGCTAGAAAAACGCAAAAAAATTCCCTTCGCCTCCCTTTATTTTTCTCCATCGTTTTTCCTCCTCTTTCCATCTTTCTTTTTCATTTCTCCTCTTCTTCTTCTCTACATCTAAGGATTAAGCTTGTATTTCGAATTCAACTTTGGAACTTGGATTGATTGTAAGTACTCATTTCTCTTATTTGATTCATGAATAATGGTTATTTGAGAAGGATGATTATGATTGTTGAATTTGATATTCGTAGCTAAATCTAATTGCTAGGGATAGGGGATGATTATTCTTGTTTAACGTGCATTTGTCGGGCTCAAGATTGTTCATGCTTATGTGAGTTGAATTGATTAGGAATCGATGAAATTGTGCATGGTAGTTTGATGTAATTGAAGGGTGACACTTCGATCGTGCAGATGGTAACAAGTGGATATTGAGTTGTCGAGTTTGGTTTTGTTGATTCCAATGATTAGTTGACTAAATACCTTCTAATTAAATTAGCGACTTTTTGAACCGAAAGAGGCGAAGTCGTAGACCTAGGCTTGCATGAGATAGATTATTTCGTAACTGTGTAATCTATGGGTTGAGATTGAAATACGTGCTTGTCGATGTCCCGTCCCTTGTTACGAAAAGTTATTGGGATTGGGATAATTGGCTTGTGTTGTATGCTCGAGTTTGTTGGTCTATGTTCAATCCCTTGTTACGAAGAGTTATTGGGAGCGAACCTCTAGATGTTTAAGCGAGAGTGTCAATCTCGAACCGAACGATTAATTGCCCGGCTTTGCTAGAACTTAAATTAATTATCCCCGATTCCCTAGTTTCTCCATCTTTGTTCCATCCACATTTTTAGGTAGATTATTGCTCTTTATTGTTTTTTAGACAGTAATTATTCAAACCCTTTTTCTGATTAGAGTGTTTAGGATTTTGTTTTCTTTTTATGTGTTATCATTACCAAAGCTAAATTCCAAACCGCCTTCCTCGAGAGATCGACCCGGGAAACGAATCTTTGATTCGGTACTCGGTAAAATATAACAATTTGTACACAACACACCACATATCACCATAACAACATAAACTCCTAAACAAACAAGCAAACAAAAAAACCTACAAAAAAACTCATAAACATGCACATAGTTAGTTGCAGACTTGTAGTTCCATCTGTTGGTGGATATACTGAAAGTTTGACTTTAGATGTATTTACACTAAACCGGTTTGAATGAGAATCATATTTAATTAAACAGTCTATGTTCTGTTGTTTTGTACTTAGATAGAATGAGTCGTCATCGGGCGAACAGAAAATCATTCTATTAGTTACTTGCGAAACAAGAATTGTTGGTTCACAACCTTGATGGAAATGAAGACCTCATCCGAACGATTGTAGATTAACCGTGCAGTTGGTCTTGACTGATTAGTTACACTAGTACACTTTTGTGTATTGAGCGGATCCCACTAATCATCGTAAACGAACTAGGCCTCAGTTGATTACTGCATACTCTTAACCCGTAAGATATAAACAGACATGTGCATGCAGTAAATATTACTTTGATTCTTATATAATCACATTCCTAACAAATTAATTAATATTATATTTTTTATTTACATTATCTAATTGATTTTCTTATGATATAATTAATATAATATCTTAACTAATTAATCATTTATCTATAATAAACTTGCCAACTTTTTTTAATGTAAAATGGTATATATGATTATTCTTACGGAGATACTTACCAATATATTAAACATTTAGAAACTTTCCTTTTTTTTTTAAAAAAAAAAAAGAGTTATCCCTTCTTTTACTTTATTTGAAATTCTAAGTTATATTTTTAAATATATTATTATTTATTTTTTTTACGTGTACATATTTATTATTTATTATCTAAGTGATAAATACTATTGATTTATCTCTTTAATAAATATTTATTATTTTTTTTCCTTACCTGATATAATCAAATTTGTTATTAGATTTTAAAATTCAAACATTTAAAAGAAAATATCACAAACAGATTTTTGGGTAAATTTTATTTTATCTTGATTTTCATATAATCACATTCCTAACAAACTAATTAATATTATATTTTTTATCATTATCTAACCGAAATTATATCTCTAACAAATTTGCCAATTTTTTTGAAATTAAAATGGTATGATTATTCTTACGGAGATACTTACCAATATATTAAACATTTAGAAACTTTATTTAAAAAAATGAGTTATCTCTCCTTTTACTTTATTTGAAATTTAAAGTTATATTTTTAAATATATTATTATTATTTTATTCTCACGTATAAATGTTTATTATTTAAGTGATGAATATTATTGCTTTATTTTTTTAATAAATGTTTATTATTTATTTTTTTTCCTTATGTAATATAATCAAAATTTGGTTATTAGATTTTTAAATTTAAACATTTAAAGGAAAAGATCACAAGTAGATTTTTTTTGGGTACATTTCATTTTATCTTAACTTCCATATACTCACATTCCTAACAAACTAATTAATATAATCACATTTATCTAACCAGAATTTTCAAAATATAATTAATTTAATATATAACTAATTAAACTTTTGTCTAACCGAATTTATCTCATGAACAAACTTGTCAAAATTTTTGAAATTAAAACAGTAAGATTATTCTTACGGGTATACTTACCAGAATATTAAACACTTTACAAACTTTTTGAAAACAAATTTGAATTATTCCGTCTTTTACTCTATTTGAAATTCAAAATTAAAATTTAAATATATTCATAAACATTATTATTTATTTTTTCCTTATGTGATATAATCTAAATTTGGTTATCAGATTTTTAAATTCAAAAATTTTAGGGAAAAGACCACAAACAGATTTTTTGGTTACATTTTATTTTATCTTAACTTCCATATAATAACATTCCTAACAAACTAATTAGTATAGTATTTTTTTTATCCACATTTATATAATCGATTTATTAAAATATAATTAATATAATATTTAAACTAATTAATCATTTGTATAACTTAATTTATCTCATTAACAAACTTGCCAAATTTTTTTGAATTAAAAAAAAAATTGGATGATTTTGATTTGTTAAAAAATAAAAAATAGCTTTACTTTAAAGTCATGATTCTTTCCATTATTTTTTGTACATTAACAATCATATATTGGATAATTTATTTTAAAAATAAAAATCAAAACCGTAATGCTAAAAGATATTTCTTAATAAAAAAATTGTATAAAGAACAGTGTTTAATAATATATATTTTCCATTGTTTCTATTTATTTTATTTCCATAATAGATGAGATGTGAAAAGTATAAAGAATTATATTTAAAATAAAATCTAAAAAAAGATTTAAAATATGAGTTTATCTGTGCATCGCACGAGATATATACTAATTTGTATATAAGCATCCCATAAATTAACTTATATTTTACTTTGTTAGTTTATAAATAGTTTGTGATGAAAAAATCAATCTTTAATGGGATTGACTTTTTATTATGAACTGATACGTACATCATATGCTTTTTCAAAGAACTATGAAACATCTTAGCCTACTTATCAACCTTTTTTTCTTTTTTTTTTACCAAAATATTCTATTATATCAATTAGTTTTTCAACAATTAGTTATAAACTATCAACTCAAAATTCAGTTATAAACAATTTGCGAATTTATCAAGTTTGTAAATTTTCAGCTAGATTAGATTTTTGTTGACGGGGGTTTCCGGTCAACGGTTAAAAAAGATTAATTGTGAAAAAGTAACAAAAAAAGACAAAAGAATGCGGTTTAATTACGATTTTATTAACTGATCACGAGGTCGGTCTCTCGTACGAGATCGGCACTTGCGATATACTTACAAATTCTTATACAAATTCCTTACAAGTTTAGAGAGAGAAAATGTAGAGAGTTGAGACCGTTGGGATTCAACAACCCAAAATAAATGCTCAAGGCTTCTATTTATAGGGTCCTTAAATGTGGTACTGTTGGAGTACTGTTCGTGGGTCTTGTCGTACAGTAACTCGGCAAGATGGGCCGGCATTTCCCTGACTGATTGAGAGTGATTTCGGGGTCTTCTAATCATTACCTGCAGCGCATTTAATGCTGGTATGGGCTGCATTTAATGCGGACATGCTCCTCGGCCGAGCTAGGCTTCCTAGTCCTGCAGACTAGTCTGGGATGTCCCATCGGTAATCATTCGTTGACAAGTGGCCTTATTTAATTGTTTCCTAGGTCTTCAACCCCTACGAAGGTCGAGCTAATAGGGTACCGAGCTGGGCTGTGGCAGTCTCTGCCCGTCCTCCGGTTTTCCAGACCCCATACCCGATCTGGTCGGCTCCCTAACGGGAGCACTGAGGTGCTGACCCCGGGATACGACGTCGTCCGCCGTTCCAAGCGATTTTGACTCATACTCAGATCGGCACCCCTTAATTGGCATGGTAGCCGACCTCACTGACCGGACCGGCCTCGCCCGGTCTCCGGTTTCTCAGACCGTCACTTCCATGGAGGCCCGACCTGGATATCAACAATTTTATAGCTAGATTAAAAGAAAAAGATGTTATTACATTCCTTCAATTGCTAGAATGAGAAATTCTTCACAAGTTTCTCAAACTTGCTTACACTATTAAAACATTTCAATCATGACAAAAACTTCATTATTTTATCATAATATATTCAATTGTTTTTTATTAGTTATATGTCAAATCTATCTTTTGTCACCACATTTCTAATTCCCCACACATGCCAAACCACACCACCAAAATCTACTTTTTCTCTCTTCCATATAAATTAAATAAATTGGTATTCAATGGAGATTGAATTTGGAATAAATAACACAAATACTCATTCTAGGCTCTTTAAATTCTTTTTAATCCATATCAGAAGACACAAATTACACCCACATTCATTTTTTTCCTAAATCAAGAAAATTACACACACACACACACACACACACTCTCTCTCTCTCGGAATCCATTTCCGCCACCGCAGATCCAAAGCAGCGCCGCCGTAATGTCAGACTCCACCGCCTCGGAACACCAATCGGCGCCCGCACCGTCGTCCGCGACCGCGGTCCACCACCTGTACCCCCGCCGGGAGCCGTTCGAGCACGGGCTGCTCCCCATCACCAAACTCATCTTCACCGACGGCGCGCAGACGCTGTCTCAGCTCAAATCGACTCTCCTATCATCCAATCCGACCGAGCGGGTCGATTTTGATACACTGTCCCGAGCCCTCCAAATCCCCCTCGAGCACGCGCGGCTTCTTATCGAGACGATTTCCTCCGTTTTGCATAGCGAGTCCGATCCGTTGGTGGAGGCCGGTGGATCGCCTGATGGGCTCGATGGAGTTGGGGTGAATGTGTACGATTTACTCGTGTTTCTGTACATACAGAGTTATAAGAGGCTGCTGCCGAAAGGGCATAAGGATTCTGCAGCTGTGGCCGATGTTTGGCCGTCGACGTCGGCGTTCGATGGGGTTTTATCAACTCTTTCGCCGTTGCAGGTGAATGGTTCTTCTATTTTGTTTGTAATTTTTGTTCATGGGAGAGATTTGGCATTTGATTGGCAATGTCTAATTAATTGTTTGCTCACCTGGGTTTAATTGCTTTACAGAGTAGTGAATTTGATCTAATTAAACGTTTTTTTGGGCTGATCCCCGTTCTTTTACAAGTAGTTGGTGGTTTGTGGTGTGATTCAGAGCTTGCAATGGTTCAGCTATTTAGATTGGGAATGCTTAGAAGATGGTTGGTCTTAGGGAGGGTAATAGTATCACATATTTATTAATGGGATTGTTAGACAGGAAGGGTATTAAAGTGAAAAAATTCCCCAATTCCACCAGATTTATCAGCATGTTTGCTTGCATTTTGTTCTGGCAATGGGTTATTCTAGTTATGTTCTCCCTTTGCTTATTAGATAGTGACCGGTAGTCATATTTTAGCTTTTAATTACCGTTAAGAGGTTGCAGCGTTTCTCTAGTGCTGTCAATCTGGGAAATAGGTGACCGTTGGATGCCATTTCATTTGGTTAGAGAACAGTAATGAGATATTTCTTGAGTAGAGAGTGATTACTTTGAATGTGAATGTATATGAGATGACACTATGATTGATAGTTGGAAATATTTGAGTGACCGAATAGCAATTTTTATTGGAAGATGTGTAATGATGAATCTTCTATGGGTTGATTATTGTAGTAGAAAAATCATTGAGTTGATTGGGGACAGAAAAAATTGAGATGAGTGGATAGTATGAAAACCTTTGTCAATTTTCAAAGAAAATACTATTTTAGGAGGAATTTTTTCATTTACATTTGTAGAAAAATGTTGCGATTGGAAGTATATCCAAATGCTAATGTTATTCTCGTTGCTAAAGAGAATTTTTCAATTTATTGCAGTTGGTACGAAGCAACAGTCGTAAGTTTATACCATCTCAAGCTGATGAAGAGTCTCATCAGCTGTCCTATTTGCAGAAGCACATAGGCAATATCCTTTCTCTCTTGGCGGACCCCACAGAAGGAGAAGGTGAAGAATCTCTGGTATGTAAGCTCTGTTTGATAATTCAATTATATTTGTTGTAGAGAGAGAGAGAGAGAGAGTGTGTGTGTGTGTGTGTGTGTGTGTGTGTTGTGCAATTTATCTCTTGTAATTAGACAGGAAATGTGCATTTCTTCTTACTGGTGAAAAAACACTGTTAGGTGTCTGTAGGTGTTTTGTCTAAGTTTTTGAGGACGCTTTGATACAAAATTTATCCAAAAAATCCAAACATTTTTAACTCAACCATTTTTTTTAACTCAGCTTTAACTCAACCCAACTATCATTAATATTATTAATATAACTAAATAATATCAACCAATCATTCTTACATATCACATCAACCTTAATTCACTATTCATCCACTCACATAATTTTAACTAACCATCACTTAAAATCTCTCTCTCTCTCTCATACTTTTACATCAAATCAACTTTAATTATTTTATTTTAAATATTATTTTAATATACCCACTAACAATTAACCATACACCTTTTTCAAAATTAACCAAACTAAACCAAAAAATCCAAACAAATCCAAAATTTTTTATATCCAAGCATCCTCAAATATATTTTTGGTTGTTTCTTTTAAGGTTTAATTTGCTTTTTATGCAAGTGGTTTTTCTTCCTGCCAGGTTCTATCCATGGATAAATTTGAGCATCTCGGATTTCTGCTTTATTTTGGAGAAAAGGGATCTGTTAGAATCCCCTTAAGCCAGAGTACTCCATTTTTCGCTAATTCAGATCCGGACATGCCTGCTGCACCTGTTCCTGCATCACAAGTTCTTGACTGGCTTCTCCAAAATATAGCCTCTACTCTGGAATTTATTTCCGATAGAGTTTCACCAAAGGATAATGTACCAAACAGTTCTTCTGATCAGGATGTTCAAATGGCTGATGTTGGCACAAGTCACTTGAAACCCTCAAGCAGTTCCAGAGGTCCAAGTTTCATCGAGGGAATCTCTAAATCATCGTGTGTGAAACAAGCATCTGATCTTAAGGGTACATCTGCAAAGGTACTTTTCGGCCTGTCACACGTCTCCACTCCTATTTAGTTTTTCCCTTTCGTTTGTCTTGGACAGTCAATGTTATCAGTGTGTTGACTGATTTTGTGCGGACTGGGCACGCAACATTTGGGAGAAGTTACAAAGTTTTCCCTGAGTGTAATACAAGGCTATGAGTTGAGATAACTACACTTCTCAATTTTTCCACATGAAGTTAAAGTGAACCTTTTCTCTTACTTAGCATGATATAGGGAGTGGAGAGAAACATTTAGGTTTTGGTTTCGGCTGGTTCTTTTGGTTAACTGTGGTTAATTTTGAAAAGGTTGGTTGGGTTAAGTTTGAGTGGGATTTTGAATTTATATTAAAACAATATTTAAAGTAAAATGATTAAAGTTGATTTTATATAAAAGTAGGATAAACGTGAGTGGAAGTGATGAGTAGTTAAAATTATGTGAGTGGATGAATAGTGAATGGAAGTTGATGTGATGTGTAAGGATGATTGATTGATATTATTTAATTATATTGATAATATTGAGAATAGTGGGGGTTGAGTTAAAGTTTAGTTAGATTTGAGTTGGGATTGGATTTTTTTCGGAAAAATTTATATAAAAAAGCAAACACTTACTTTTCTGTCTATTCCATGAAATTTTCATATTAATTGACTTCTATTAAGATTGGATGTTGTTAAAAACCTTAATCTCTGCTTCCTTTATATGTTTGTCAGGTCGTAAATTGCCACGAATCAGTAATCTACGTTTTGGCACCATTGAAATATGCAACAGTTTATGGATGCTCTGATGCAACCATTGTCATTGGTGCTGTTGGCAAGGTACTTGGTGTGATGTGCCATATGATTACGATTGTTATAAATCTATCACGAACTTTACACAAACTTGATTTCTTTAGTACCTTCATAAAATTAGGAGCTCCAAATCCCTAAATAAATGCGTTAACAGGCCATTAGGGTTGAGCATTGTGAACGAGTTCATCTGATAACTGCAGCAAGACGTATCTGCATTGCCAACTGTCGTGAATGTGTGTTCTTCTTAGGGGTCAACCAGCGGCCCCTCATTGTTGGTGATAATCATAAATTGCAGGTTAGTAGTTATTCTGTACTAATACAACCATATGCTTCAAAATACGATCGACAGTTTGTTATGGTATTATTTAGTGTCTGTCATGAAAATTTTGATCGATTTTGCACATGCTTTTAAACTGTTAAAGTAAATTACTCGAACAATTATTATAGCTATTAATAATAATAATAATAATAATAATAATAATAATAATAATAATANTNNTNNTNNTNNT